TACTGAATTGAAATTTGATTATTTCCAGGTATACTTTAATAAACATTACTAAACATGCCAAGTCATGAATCCTTAATAGGTTTGATTTGACTCTCCAAAGCGTTAGGAAATCAAATAATAAAGTTAGGGTTGGAAAGACCATACAGTTGATGGGGTGCTTGCCTTGCATGTGACCGACCCAGGTTCAATTCCTGGCATCACATATGAGCCTGGGAGTGATCCTGAGTGCAGAGCCAGGAGTAAGCCCATAGCACCACCAGATGTGGGCCCAAAACCAAAATATAAAATAAAAGTTACCAAGAAATAAGCTATTAATTGCACAAGAACTTCCAAGCATAACTGTGTCAATAGGCACCTTTTTCTATAGAAGTACCAAGAGCCTGAAAATGATCCTAATTCATGTAGTTGCCAAAGATAATCACTAGTCCCAAGGGTTATTTTTGTGAAGCACAGCATGGAAATAGACAATAAAACCATGGGCACCCAGCTTTGTGAAATGGGTATAGTAATTAACTACAATCCTGGCCAGTAATTAAGCAATAAGTCTCCTTGACGGAGGGAGTTCAAGGGCATCTAGGTGGTTGGTTAAGTTTCAGACTTAAGAATACCCAATGAAGGGGCTGGGGCGATAGCACAGTGGGTAGGGCGTTTGCGTTGCATGTGGCCGACCTGGGTTCGATCCCAAGCATCCTAGATGGTCCCCCAAGCACTGCCAGGAGTGATTCCTGAGTGCATGAGCCAAGAGTAACCCCTGTGCATCACCGGGTGTGACCCAAAAAGCTAAAAAAAAAAAAAATACCCAGTGAAGATCATTCAGGCCTCTTCAGAGCAATACAGGAGCAAGTGAGAAAAAGCGGGGGGGGGGGGGGGGGGGGGGGGGGGCGGGATTTGAACAGGAAAATATTCCCTGCTCTTTTGCGTAACCGAAGGGGCAATACTGACTATACCCAGAACCCAGAACATCCCCCAGGAGTCTGCAAACACCCAGACTCCTCGAGATGTGAGAAGTGGTTTAACACCCAGGTCCACTTAGATCCACTGGGATCTAAGTGCTCTCTGATTCAAGGACTAGCCGGGAAGGCGTGCCCTGGAGTCCTCTCCCACCAATGACACAGCACACACCACCACCCCCCTTCTGACTCCTGAGGGAGCCAAGCCTTGAGTGTCAGGGAGAGGAAGCCCCTCCAGAGCACAGCCCCGCTCCCCCCAGCCTTGTCCCAGCCCGCCCAGCCCTCCCTCTTCCCAGGGCTCCACCCTGAGCCCACTGGGACCAACAATGACTCATCATGCCTGTTTTCTTTTAGCTGCCCCTGACTCACTCCTGTCCCTCTGGCCCCAAGGACTGGCTTCCGGCTCCAGCCTAGGCTGGCCCCAGGCTTCTTTCTCCTTTACTGAGCCACCATCTGAGGTGGCTTTGACGAGGACAGGACAGAAAAAAAAGCTGCCAGTGGTCTGACTGCGCATGCCCCCAGCCCTGTGGAGGGAGACACCACACACAGGGACCTTTCTCTTTTTATTCTTTTTATTCATTTTTTTGATTTTTTAAATTTTATTGAACCACTGTGAGATAGTTACAAGCTTTCATGTTTGGGTTACAATCACACAATAATCAAACACCCATCCCTCCACCAGTGCACATTCCCCCACCACCAATATCCCTGGTATACTCCCCCCCCTTTCCAACTCTCCCCCCTGCCTCCATGGCAGACAATTTTCCCCATACTCTCTCTCTCTACTTTGGGCATTGTTTTGCCATATAGCTACTGAGAGGCCATCATGTTTGGTCCTTTATCTACTTTCTCCACATATCTCCCATCTTGACCGATTCCTCCAGCCATTGTTTTCTTAGTGATCCCTTCTCTATTCCAGCTGCCTTCTCCCCTTTGCTCATGAGGCAGGCTTCTAGTTATGGAGAAATCTACCTGTCACAGAGATCTTTCTCATCCCATCACTGTGTGGTGGCAGTAACAGGGTCAGCGGGAGCCCCCATAGAGGGACCAGAGAGGCCCACCAAAGGCCAGGACTGTGTTGGGCTTAGAGTTTTGGAAGATTAAAAACCTGACATTGTTTTCTCAACTCTGGGGTTTTCTGGGAGTTGCACAATATCCTAAAAAAAGAAAAAAAAATTAAATGAGGGTGTTGAGGTTTGGAATGGAGACGTGTTCGCAGGGGTCGCGTTGGTGTGATCTTGTGTTCTCAGCACCTTTACTCACCGGTGGTCTCCAGATTCTGGAATTAGGCCACCACATCTGCCAGATGTGGAGCCCCCGGCAGACAAACTGGTCATTGCCTAATCAGTCAGCATCCCCTTCACTGTCTTCTGGTCGTCATCCACCAAACAAATAAGGGCCAGGGGGTGGCAAGATGTGTCGAAGCTCAGACACCATCACTCCTGAAAATATAATAAAAAGTCATTGTTCAGGGAGCAAGGCTCAGCTCTGGTGTTTTACAGAGCATCAACCTGGACGCCTCAGCGACCATCTCTGATTGTGGGACACCGGAGGAGGGGGTCTCACTGTGTCGGTGAGGGGAGCTTCTCCTAAGACTTCTTTTTCAAGAAGGAATGGCATCACTGAATAATGGAGGGTTTGGACACGATAGCAAGCATTTAAGTTTGTGGTTAAAATCTGCTTATTGCAGGGGAGATACTTTGAAAAAAGTGAATGGTTGGTATTCACCAAGAATAAAAAGCAGATGCTAGCAGTTGCACTGAGGAATGACCTCCTCACCCTGCCTCGCTGTGATAGGTTGAAAGCTCCAAGAATTCCCCACAGAAATGACTAGTATCTAATCCCAGGCACCCCATGTGACCCCAAGCCCTAACAGGAGTGATCACGGGGTGCAGAGCAGAGTAAGCACCGCCATGTGTGGGTTCCCCCCAAAAAAGGAATGAAATGAATAATAATGGTGCTCCCAAACCCCTAAAGAAACCTACCCAAGTGGTACCAGATAAGAGTGTTCCACTTTCAGAGATTGGAAGAAACCTGCATTTTATTAAAGACAGCAGTGCTTTTATAGGACAAAAAAAAACCCCTAAGACATAAAACATAACTTGGTGTCATGGAACAAGCGTCATAGCCCAGCAGATGCTTGATCTCCACGTGGGTGCTGCAGACGTGATAAGTGTTCAGAGAGTGTGAAGGCGATTGCAACAGGTGTGATTGGAAGGGAATTTACTGAAGAGATCGGACCCAAGGAAGTCAGCTATAGTTTAGTTTGTATCAGTTGCAGGCCAGTAGTAGAAGTAACTGAGGACCAGGGCCGGGCTGTCAACTGGAAAGGGCAGGGTGTGATTACCGATTATCTGCCGCATCCACGTTATAGGCCACTTGTGCGCATGGACGTGTGTGGAGACGAGAGACGGGCCGGTATGGGGTGCCAAAGGAGTAATGGAGCAGCATGCAGGCTCGGTACATGGTACACGTGTGCTCCACCACTTGTGCTATCTCCCCTAGAGCACAGGATGGAGTCTTGTGTTGACTTCGCAGCTTGCAGACTTTACTAAAAGCCACTTGGTTGAGTGAGTGGCCAGTGAGAGTGTGAGCTGGACAGGAAGAGAATGTGAACAATGGTACAAAGTTAAACTGTCTCTGTTAAGACATCTGTGCCCTCCAGACAAAAGCATAGTGTGTGTGTGCGTGCACATGTGTGTGTGTGCATGCATGCACATGCATGTATACAGTATGTCAGTGACCTCTCTTAATGCTCCATGCTGATGTTTAAGAGGGGAAAATTTTCACAAACTCAGGCATGTTGATAAGGGTAGTAACAGCTAATGAGGAGTGGCTTACAGCGACTGCATCAGAGGATTAATGCTAACAGCACTGTAACGTGTGCACAAGGACCCAGAAAACTGACAAACATACAGCCTCAGCCTCCTAGGCGAGTCCTGTTTGCCAACAAATCGGGTCTGGTCATGCTTCCCCTGAGATCGGGCCCCATCAAAGTGCCATTTGGGGGATAGGGGGTGGGTGTAGCTTAGCTGCAGAGAAGCGGCCCCCAATCCCCTGCCTGTCTCAGCCCGTCTCGGTTTGGTGGCCACTATGTACGAGGGTCCCCTGCCTGAGAGAGTGGTGCTGACAAACGGGCACCCCAGCCTTCCAGATTACATCAGAGTACAGGTTCCACTTCTTTCACAAAGCCCCCTTCATCCTCCCTGCAATGATGACGGGGAAACAAGCCAAGTAACCTCTGCATTGGGGGCGGTAGCAGGGTGTGGGGATAAGCAATCCTCGGCAGTCCCTCCAGCACCCCAAACCAGGCTCTCCTCCAAGCCGAAACTGCGTTGTCCCACCCGTACATCTCCAGCTCCCTCCCGCGTCCGCTCTTGTTATATTCGGGTTCTGGGATTCCCGTTCACAGAGAGACCAGTTCCACAAGTGAGAATGCAAAAGCAAAGGAACCTTTATTGCTAGCTCGAGCTAGGGTCCAAGCCTCATCCAATGCAGGAGTCTCGACCAGGACCCCGACCCTTGTTTCAGGGAACAGTATATTGCCTGTGGTTACATAAGCAACGTTGGCACAGTTGTTGGTGACAGTTGATGGTTTTCCCAAGAATTTCGACGCAGCAGTCACAAGTCTGTGCGCTAATTGGCCATGCCCACCTGCTGTGCCCAGAGATATCCTACTTATCATAGGGCTAGCTAGAGTCGTCTAGGGGAGTTCCAGCTACAGCCAAGGGCAGTCTCAGGGAATTCTTCGGGGGAAAACAGAAACTTAGACCTACTGCTTATTTTGCTGAAGTGCAGCCTGTCATGGTGCATGTGAGGTTCTTTCTCAGCCTCACACTCCCTGGGTATGGCTGGCATCTGAATCTCTTTGGGTCTGACCTGGAAGGTTATTTGGGGGAAACAACACCCTTTCCCTGTGAGCTGATGATGCCTGCTTCTGCGCAGGAAAGCCTCACCCCTGGGGGACCCGTGCCCCTCATAGGGGAACGCGAGAGTCTGAGCTGCCTTGTACGCGACTGTCTGCTGACCGAACTCTGTCTTTGCTTCTAGCACGAAAGCAGGAGATCATCAAAGTCACCGAGCAGCTAATCGAGGCCATCAACAATGGAGACTTCGAGGCATACACGTGAGTAGGACCTGCCCGCCTGTGGCCTGATAGACCGTCTCATTCGGGACGTCAGGGGTGTCAAGGTCATCATGATCCAGGAGAAATCTTCCTGTGTTGGAATCCACCAACAAAGGCAGAAGCCCCAGGGTTTCCTGGGAGCACACAAGAAGGTGGTACAAGAACCCCCCCCCACCCACCCACCCAGATGGGAACTTGTGGGAAAGGACAGGAAAGCACTGAGAAGCAGGTTAAGAATGTTCTTCAGGGGGCCGAGAGATAGCACAATGGGTAGAATGCTGGCCTTGCCCATGTGGCCAGCCTGAGTTTAATTCCCAGTGGCATCCCATATAGTCCCCCAAGCCTGCCAGGAGTGATTTTTTTAACATAATTTTTATTTAACTGTGATTTACAAAGTTATTGATAATTGAGTTTTAGGCATGTAATATTTCAATACCAATCCCACCACCAGTGCCAACTTCCCTCCTGAATGCAGAGCCAGGAGTAACCCCTGAGCACTGTGGGGTATAGATGAAGGGGGGGGGGAGAAAGGAGAGAGAGAGAGAGTGTGTGTGTGTGTTTTTCAGCTCTACGGAGCAGCTGGGACAAAGAAAAAAAGAGGAAGTTCCTCCCTCTCCTCTTTATCACTCTTACATTTGTCTCAGGAAAAGTCAAAGAAAAGGTGTTCTAATGCTGCAGGAATATAGACAATATAAAGTAAGTTACTTTCATCTGAAATAAAGCTTTCAGACAGTGTCAGTGTACAAAGTCTGGTGTCAGTAAGTTTGTCCCGGGTGAATGTGTAAAGGTAAAGAAGACCGGGTCTGTTCTTCAGTGGAGAATATTCGTGTGTATCTCTCCAGTGGGCTGGAGACACTAGTGATGAAGGAGCTTGCCTTGCATGTGGCCAGCCCGAGTTCAATCCCTGAAACTGCTTTGATTCCCCCAAGCATTGAGCCAAGAGAGTTATGCAAATTCTCTGCAGAGTAGTTGTAATCAAGTCATAAAATATTCTGATTCACCAAGGTCCTATTTATAAAGGACAGAGAGAGGCCCTGCCAGAGGAGATCGCTGTTGCTATGGGAATGTGGGTCTTCCGAGTTTGCTCCTTAGAAAGAGTCTGTGCGTGTGTGAAACATACAGGAAGAACCCACAGGAAAAGCGAGGCAAAGTGTGAAAGCTCTTAGCACCCCACGCCCCCAACCTCCGTCTCTAAGGCTTGCTTTACCAAGAGGAAGAGCCGTTGGGATGTTCTACTTTCAAAGTATTTTCTACTTTTAAAGTATCTTTGAAAAACATCCACTCCTTAGCCAGAGAAGAGGCTCAATGGGCAGCACACCCGGTCTGCATTTGAGAACCTGGGTTTGTTCCCTGGCACCCCATAGACCCTGAGCACAGAGCTCAGAGTCCTGCCCAACCACTACTAGGTGTCCTCTCCCCCTCCCAGTCCCCCCAAAAAAACAGTTAAAGAATAAATGAAAAGTGTCATTACTCAGAAGCGCCATGGTGAGTTAGCCTTTTCAAATGTCATTCTGTTGGATGGGGAAGAGTTTCCCCTTCATAGGAAAGAGTTTGTGAAACCAGGTGTAGCTGCAAGCACCATATTGCCCCACAAAACAAATCAATAGACAATTCCAGATCCTTCCATCTATGTTCCTTTCATCTAGTTTCTTTTAACTTCCGCTCATTTCTTTGAACCCAGACTTTGTCACAGCAAGTCTTCTGACTTTCATTTCACATCCCACTGCCCCTCCCACCTCCCACCACAAGCCTCTCCTCCTCATTCTGGAATGTCCAGCTCTGCCTTCCTTTTCCCTGTCAGTGGCCTGTGCTTTTCAAGCACTTGGTCTTGCGTCTCAATGAAACATCAATGGTTGGGGCGCCATTGTACTTCCAGAAAATATCCGCCACACAGTAGGTGTTGGGCAGTTCCTTTCTTTGGAGGGGACAGGCGGGTGAGCCTGGGGCTCTCACGTGCTGAGCAAATCCTGCCCCAGCCCTTGTAGTCATCTCCCAGGACCATTGTAGAATTCTAGCTTGAACCACATTTCCTTAGGGAAACCACTTTGTTTCCACCTCTTTGTTGAATCGTATTTCTAGGAATCAGATGGAGAGAAACAGTGGGTGGGTGTGGGTGGGTGGGTCTGAGCCTCGTGGCAGCTACCATAACTTCCAGCACATTGGAAGTCTCCTAGGGTCTCCTGGCCATGGGTTCTCAGGAAACGGAGACCATGCCACCATCAGCACCCAGATGCCTGGCACACTTTGAGGAAGTATCAAGGTGCTCAGAAGATTCTAGAGCCGCAAATGGCTGGAGAAGGTGCAGTGTCTCGACCTTACAGAACATGTAAAATTAAGAAACTCAAGTGGGAGAAAACCTAGGGGAAGCCTGACAAATTCAGACACTTAGAATTGTCATGCTGTTCTTTAGGATACAGGCACCCAGCGGTAAAGCTGGTGAAGGGTGGCAGCTTTGGGCAACGCAGTGGCCATGCCCCTTTCCTGACTTTGGCAAAATGCTTTGCTCAGAGTCCGTTGCTCAAGAGTTTCATATTTCTTGTGAAAGGCGTGTGAGGTAGAGAGACACATGCAATGGGAAAACTCACTCACCAATTCCTCACTTCATTTCTCCCCTACAGAAAAATCTGTGATCCAGGCCTCACTGCGTTTGAACCAGAAGCTTTGGGAAATTTAGTGGAAGGGATGGACTTTCATCGATTCTACTTTGAAAATGGTACATTTATCCTTAATTTAATAGCACACTTTTTCCAGCTTCTTTTCACATGTCTCCCTAATTTGCAGATTCTGAGACTCATTTTTTGCAGGGAGGTTTTACGTTAATCCAGTTTTTTTTATTGCAACATCAATGTTTCTTATATTTAAAATTTTAAGAGAGATATATATGTATAGTTCTCCCTCTCAGAGAACCCGGCAAGCTACTGAGAGTATCCTGCCCACATGGCAGAGACTGGCAAGCTCCTTGTGGCGTATTCAATATGCCAAAAACAGTAACAATAATGGGTCTCTTTCACTGACCCTGAAAGAGCCTCTAATGTGGCACTTTTGGGAAGGATGAGTAAAGAGAGGTTGCTAAAATCTCAGGGCTAAGATGAAGGGAGACGTTACTGGCATCCGCTCAAGCAAATCGGTGAACAATGGGATGACAGTGACAGTGACATATCTGTATATATATTCAGACTTAAAGTTCTGGTGTGTGATGAAAAATGTTTGAAAACATTTGTTTAAAAAGTAATGTCGGGGCTAAAGAGGTAGAGCAAGGGTTAGGTCACTTTGTTTTGCATGCTGCCGGCCATGGTTTGATCCCCAGCACCACACACGGTTGCCCTAACATGGCCAAGCGTCACTTCTAAGCATGGAGCTAGAAACAGCCCTGCAGCATCCCCAGGTGTGGCTGACTCCTGCCCCTACCGCACCCCCGGAAAATAAATAAGTCATGTTGACTGAAGACACCCCATGAAAGCCCCAGCAAAGACCCGATAAAAGCTACAAAATGAGTTCCCACAATATCAGTGTCATTTCAACTTTTGCTAATAAAGTTTGCTTTAGAGGGGAACAAGTCCAAGAACCTCTGCGTGCCAGGATATGTGAGTGGAAGGATGCTTTCAAGCATATTGAGGGCTGGTTCTCGACATGAAGGGTAAAAGAAGGCAAGTAATCACACATGGAGCTGTGCTTACATTCAAATCAGGAGGAATGGAACAGTGTCTGAGGTAATAGACGATGTAGAGAAACTAACCAAAGAAACCCAAAAATCATTCAGGAGAAGTATAGACCAGAAATCCCTGAAGAAAAGTATAGACCAGGGACTGGAGGGATAGCACAGCAAGGAAGGGTGTTTGCCATGCAAGTGGCTGACCCAGATTCGATTTCCAGCATCCCATATGGTCCCCTGAGCACCACCAGGAGTGATTCCTGAGTGCAGAGCCAGGAGTAACCCCTCCTGTGCATCGCCCGGGTATGATCCAAAAACAAAACAAACAAAAAGAGTATAGACCAGAAATCCCTCAAGAAAAGTATAGACCAGAAATCTTTCCTGTCCTTTTCCTTAGACCTAAGATATTGGGTATTGCATCACTTCTGCCTGATGCAGAATGAATGAATCCAACTCTCCCCAGCAAGGTGAGGAGGAGATAAGGAGGCATAGCCTATGTAAACTCACTTCCTGTCATAAGAAGCATGAGTACGAACACCTGCTTTAGTTAGCATGGACGGATTTTTAAGATGTTGAATGAATTATATTTTCTTCCATGCACAAGCAAACGAGCAAAGAGAACGGTGTAGCACCTGCTCTAGGACCTCTGTCCTTGTTCCCTCCCTCCCTCCCTGCTGACACCAGCGCAGGACAGCTAGCCTGTGCGCCTTCTGATGGATTATTTCACATGATCTACATCGGCATCTTTCAGAAACACAGATATTCCCACTGGTTCACTGTTTTGTGACTGCAGCGCTGACTCACTCAAATAGGCTTTTCCCTCTGCCCCCGCCCCCAAGAACAAAAAGCGTTCTTGGATAACAGAGTGTTAAGCAAGCCCGCCAGTCAAGTCTACACTGCATCATTCTTTCTCTGGTTCCCTGAAGAAGAAGAGGGAGCTGGAGTCAAAATACCCAGGACTGGGGGTAGAGGGGGGATCAGCTCCAAGCCCTGGGACCCCACCTCTCACCCCTGGAACAGACACACAGAGTAAACGAGGCCCAGAGTGGGTCATGGAAATAAACTCATGCCAGAACCAACTGCCTTTAGACACAGCTACACCTCTCCTCGCTTGATGCTTGGCAGATTTCCCCTGTCCTGTAACTTTACCAACCACAAACAAAGACCACCGGATATCCTGCCAATTGCCCTGAGGGCTCGCCTGGGGAGGAAGACAGGAAAGTTCTCCCCACACCTGGGCCAAACCCCTGATCTTCTCCCTCTCTTCTTCTAACCACTTCCTGTTGTAAATCAGTTTCTCTCCAGCTTCCCACCACCCCCACAGAGTTTCCAGGGGGGCGGGGCATAGGAAATGTCTGCCAAGGAGAGCCTTGGAAGGCATTTTGTCTGCTTCTGTTCTTCCCCACCCCGTTATTCTCTGCCCAGCACCCTGCCCCTCCTTGGTGCAAATGACCAGGAGGAGCCCTTGTAAACAGCAGGCCCTTGGCTGGTCCCGGCTCAAGCACTTATGTCGTGAGTTGGGTTTCTGGGACCCAGACGCATCACTGTCCCTCTCATGTCACTCGCTTGCAGCTCTGTCCAAAAGCAATAAGCCCATCCACACCATCATCCTGAACCCCCACGTGCACCTGGTGGGCGAGGACGCTGCCTGCATTGCCTATATCCGGCTCACGCAGTACATGGACGGCGGCGGCATGCCCAAGACCATGCAGTCGGAGGAGACGCGCGTGTGGCACCGCCGGGACGGCAAGTGGCAGAACGTGCACTTCCACCGTTCGGGGTCACCCACCGTCCCCATCAAGTGAGTGTTTCCAGGCAGCCGGGGGCCAGGGAGCCCAGGTTGGGTCACGAGCGCAATGCTCGTCAGCGGGAACAAGTGACCAGCGGCAGGGGTGCGTCATCCCCCCACCCTGCCAATAAGCTGCCTCCAACCCCAGAGAAGGACAGGCCAACTGGACAGGGTGGGCTGGGTGCATCCAGGAGTAGGGCCAGTTCAAAGTGATCCCTCTCTCCAAATGATTTCTCCCAGCAGCACTCGGGGGCCGTGTATGCCTGCCCGGTCCCTGGGGAGAGATGTGGGAGGGACAAACTGAGAAGGGTCTCTAGCCAGAACCCCGGGACAGAGAGGAATTCTGAAAGTGGCTGGCCTCTTGGGACCTCTCCCCCCATTGCTCAGTCGGGGTCGCGTGTTTGCTCTACCAACTGACGATGAGACGAGCGGGGCCCAGGCAATGCTCAGTGGTCAGTGGCCTGGGCCAGACCCGAGACAGAAGCCCAGCACCTCGGGGGCCCAAGCCTTGCCCTGCCCTGTCCACTTAGCCGAGTATTATTGGGAGTGGCCCTGGGCCCTCAGAACACTGCATGGGAGTTCTTCCCCCTACCCTGAAAACTATGGGACAGGCACCTTCTTGGATACCTGGTGTCTCCTCCAGGCATCACTTACCCCAGAGAAGGTGGGAGGTGAGAAGGCGGAATGTATGCAAGCAAGCGCAAGGCTCCAGATTCGATCCCCAGCGTCTCACGGCCGTCAGCTCTCGCCAGTTACATCAAAACGTGGCACATGGCCGGCAAGGAATGTATATTGTCGTTTAGAGATAAGGCCACCTATCCCCAGTGTCCAGTGAAGCACTCTGAAAGAAACCCCACAGTCCCCTTCAGAGAAGAGTCTTACTCTTGCACAACCAACTTACTCTTGCACAAGCAAGAGCAAGCTCTACTTTACTGTTGGAAAGGGCTCGGAAGGAAGTCAGATGTCAAGCAAGGTCTTAAATGACTAGCGGAACTGGGGGGTCTAGGAAGGTGGAAAGCGCAGGAAGAAAGCTTGAGTAGAGCTCAGGTAGGATTTGGGGTGAGAAAGCCCGAAAGCCTGGTCGCAGTAGGAAATTGGGTCACGGTGGTAAGGAGGGGCTAGTTCCACAGGGAAAGCTGTACTCGGAACCCGCTGACTCTTCCTGATATGGGGTCGGGGCCTGGGGGGCTGGGAAATGGGAAAGGAAGTCAAGCTCATGGCAACATCCTTTCAGCTTGTCACATGTTCATCACGACCTCATGGACTCCCCTACCACAGTGGTTTTCAGAGGCCTTCTCTTTTGGCTTAATGATTCACCAACACTGTTGGAATTTATTTTAAAAAAAGAAAGAAAAAAACAGTGGGTCACAGCAGACAAAAAAATAGTCACAATCTATTCTAAAAATTTAAAAAAAATAGCTGTTATTGTTAGAAAGACACCAAAGGATAGCAACAATGGCAAAGACACACATGTGTGCTTGTGTGTCTACTGGCAATGAGGCATGTAGCCAAGGCCAGCTGAGAGAGATGGGACCCGCAGTGCTGGGAGCTGAGACCCTGGCAGCCCCACACAGCACCATTGGGATAGAGCCTATTTAAGACAACGTCATCCTACGCCACGTGGCTTAAGTGGGGCTTCTCTTAATAGGCCGTCCTGTATTCCAAATGGGAAAGAAAACTTCTCAGGAAGCACCTCTTTGTGGCAAAACATCTAAGGCCTGAAAACCCTTCACTGTGGGTCTTGTAAGTAACATCTGCTCCATGATGCTCGCCCGCGGGCCCAACTGCCAAGCTGCCCACGGGCCCCTTCCCCGGGGGATCTTTTCTCTGACGTCAAATTCAGGGTATTTTGTCTCACGTGCTAGTCAAGAGGGTGGAGGGGGGAATAGGTCTTTGAAAGTTTCTAGCATTTTTGCTTGAGCTCTTGAGCCCTGACCCCATGTGCGGGTATAAACACCAGGAAGCATCACCCATTCCCAAGCATCTGTGTTTGTCTTCTGCCCGCCGATGGCGGCATCTGACTTCACCTGGCAAAGAGCAGTGAGGGCCAGTATAGACAGATAAGTCAGTGATCCAGACCTCACAGATCCCGCCGTGTCTCACCTGTCAGTCGGGAGGCTGGTGACGATGATGGCTTCACACACTTGGCAAGAGTGGCACATAACACAAGAGGTTTCCATGCCCAAACCAGCTCTCAGTATTTGGCCTGGGACACGGGACTAGGAGAATCATCAAGTGAGATTTTAAACACTCACATAGTTGCCCAGGGTACCTGAAAGTTGATTGTCGTCAGCCACATTCCTGCCTGGGCTGTCCCAAAGTTGCCCGTCCCTTAGAAGGTAGAAGGGTGTGGGGGATGCCCACACGCCTGACCATGCCTTCTCTCAGAGCCATGGTGGTTGAGAGCACAAAAGCCTCCAATTAAGTAAGAATCATCTGGTTTCCCCAACTGTTGAGGCTCTATCCCTTATCCAGTTGGTATGTAGCTTTGATTTCCCAAGGAGTCTTGGAATAACGACACAAGCTAAAGGGGAACTTGGACTTTCCGACTGTTTGAGCAGACGACACTTGACTGCCTTGACTACTTCAAACATCTGGGCTTGGGCCTGGGGTGGAGGGATCCCAGGACTGGCTGGCCGCAGCTGGGTGTGGCCCTAGGAACAGAGAAGACCAGTTTCTGGTTTGCCTGTCATCTCTGTTTTGATTTCGTGGCATCTAATCTCTGAAGACCACTGACCGAGATCTCACACACACAGATTCCCGATCGACACTTAGCTCTTAGGAAAGCGCAAGGGTCCCATCTTTGACAAAGGATCTGAGGGTGTTTTGCACATTGATGTAATTTATCTCTTCCTCTCCTTCCCCCCACCCCTTCACTTTCTCCTTCCAGCTAAATATCAACAGTGCCACCTCCACATTCTCTGTCTCCAGGCACGTGGACGGGACCCTGGGCGCCCCCCTCCTCCTCTTCATGCATGTTTCTGAGTGCGTGAAGCCGTGAAGGTCCGTGTTCTGCTTAGTGACGCCTCCTCTCGGCCTCGAGTCCCCCGCCCACGTTGTTTGCACTCGACCTTGGGATGTTCCTTGCAAACTCCAGTCACCCTTGGCCATCACAGGGGGATGGCAGATGTCAAAGAAAAAAAAAAACAGTTCCACAATATTCCAACTCTGTAATTCTTTATCCAGTTCCTCTGTTTATGCCAAGATTTAACAGACTTTAAAAATTGTCCTCTGAATGACAGTTTGTAAGAGAAATGTAAAATTTTTTTTAAAAAGACAAAACTCTGCTCTTCATTTGTTTGGGCTTGTTTCACACACACACACACACACACACACACACACACACACACACACATCTATATATATTTAAGAAAAAAAGGCCAAAACACACACACAGACACACCCCCCCCAAAAAAAATGACAACAGCAACAAAGCCGTCAGTTTCTTGGAGTGATGACTTTAATGCTCAGTCGCAATTTAACGATTAGAGTCCATGGAAATGTGGCAGAATCACTTGGGCTAAATAAGCAGCGTCTGTGACTCACTGCCCTGTGATGCCATGTCTTGGGGGGGTGGGGATGACACAAGGGGTGGGGGGTCTGAACTGTGTAAACTGGAAAAATTCCAAACATCCATGAGTTTGATCACTTCGGGGTATGCTCGCATTGTTCGGGTTAAGTTGCTGAGCTGAATACCCCGCCCTTAAATCTGTGTTGTCTTCTCGCTCCCTACCCCACCCTCGTTTCTTTGCTCCTGTGGTTGGTTCCCTCTTTACTTTCCCATTCTTTCTTTTTCTCCTCTAGCAGCACATGAGTAAAATGCTGTTTGCCTCATGATGGTCAGATAAGTCTGCCTCCCTTTGTGGGGGGGGGGGGGGGGGTTTGAATGTCCGATCCCTTGAGAGTGTCCCCAGGGGCCTCTCAAAGGGACTGAGACAGCAGAGGTTTCTCCTGCTCGGGCGCCAGCGTGGAGAACAGGATCTAAGAGTGAGGTCTTGGGGTGCAGAAGAAGCCCCCAGCCCACTCTCCCTCCACATGTCCTGCTGCTCTGGGCCCCCACCGGGAGCCTCCCTGAGGCTGGAGGGTGGGTTTTGCTGCGAAAGTACTTTGGTCTGCTAGGGGAAGAGTCTCTGCCCTCCACCATCAGCTGCTTTCTGGGGGTGAGGGGCCGGCAGGCGTCTTCTCTATCATCTCTCCTCTCTTGCTGCACCCTGGAGGCCCTTCCTGGCCCTGAATCCCTTTCCAGTGCATGGCCTCCTCCTCATCGTCATCCTGGTCCTCAGAAGCCTATTTTTAAAGCAAACAAGAAAAAAAAAAAAAGGAAAGAAAAAAAATAAAACCTACCCCGCCAAGTGATGACGACGATAAACGCCCTCTTTTCTCTCCTCCTACCCCCCCCCCTTTCCATGATTACTCTCCACATTAGATATTGTTGCTAGTGGATATATGGTAGATGGATTGAAGCTTTTCTGATCATTATTACACAATTTAAAACAATCTATATTTAAAATAAATATATACAGTCAATGTATTGAGCCATGTTAACCTGCCAATGAGATCTGTGAAAAAGTAATGGCCTCATTTCCCCCCTGCTCATTTCCTTTACCTTTATTTGTGAAATGGCTACACGTGCGTACATGTATTTTTTTTTAATTAGGTATAGAGTGGTTCCGTTGGGTTTTTTTTTTTTTACACCTTTAACTTAGCATGTGGTGTTGAAGTATCACTGTAGACCGTTTGCCTTCCGCACTCAGACGTGAGGAAATTGTGATTTGTTCTCTCTCAGCCACCATCGGATTTATTATCTTCTATCATTTGGAAACACTGCAGTCTACCATGGGACACTGTATATATTTCTTGCCATAATGGTAAATGACCGATATATTTAAGAGTTAATAAATTTGTGATTTCTGCTGACAGTGCGTCCGTCTTTCTTTCCTTGCTCATTTGGATGGGTGCCCGGGATGGAGCCCACAGCCTCTCCCACAACAGACCGGTCAGCTCCACTTCTTAGCAGGTGGTCCTCCTCTGGGCCCACGGGACACTGCCCAGTGCCAGCCAGAGGCAGCAGCCCCACCAGGGATCACAGTTGACAGGAAGATGGAGTCACGGTCCTGTGTTCCCCAGTAATGTGCTTGGAGAGGCCAGAGAGAGAGAGTAGTCGGGGAGCACCCTTACCTGCAGCCAACCTGGATCCAATCCCCGGTCCTGAGCACAGAGCCAGAACTAAGTCCCGGCCAGATGTAGTCCAAAAGCGAAATAAAAGATAATGATAAGGCAAAGAAGTCCTGCAAAGACTCAAAAACAGATAATCTAAAACCATTTAAAGTCATACTACAGAGACAGTACAGAGTGGAGTGTTTGACAGTACGGAGTTGAGTGGAGCCAGGCGACCCTGGCTGACCCTGGTACCAAAAGATTTTCTCACGCCCTGCCCAGCATCACCAGGAGTGACCCCTGAGCACAGAGCCAGGACTAGACCCAAAGCCCAGTCCACAATTTTTGTTTTGAAGAATACGCTAAGAGATGACAGCAGGCTGGTTGGATGTGCAAAATAGAGGTCGCACATAAGAAAATATTTCTGAGACCCACCTAATTAGAAACAGCTGAGGTCTGTATGCCAGTGCAGGAGACCTCTTCTGGCCAGCCCCCATTCAATCCCCAGCACCAGGTGAGACTTTTCTGTGCCACAACCTGGTTCCATTCATGGAGGCAGAGTTGCTATGCGAATGCAAGAAGATTTCCTCTGATCCCATTCTCCATCTTAAATGGTCCAGAACTGTGGCAGCGGAGCACTCTACAGGCAGGTGCTTAGCTGGTTGCACAAATCCCAGCTGTGTTCTGTCCATAACCTGATGGTTATTAGTGACTTGGGGCTGGGGGGTTGTACTAGTAACCCAGAATCCTGAAAATCCTGCCTCGTTCAGCTTTCTGCCAGAGCTTCCTTATTAGGTCACTAACCCTCACTGCATTCAAGATATCAGTCGCTTTGGGGAGGGGAGGGACAGACCTAGCTGTGCTCAGGGACCACTCACGGTGGTGCTCAGGAGCCAAATGCTCCAGGACTGAACCTAGATTGGGCACAAGCAGCACAGCAGCTTAAGCCCCATCCTGTCTCTCTGGGCCCCAAATTTCTATCTCAACTCTTCCATGGGATGCTTCACATCCTTTTCCCGCACTTTCCTGCCCTTCTAAGCCCACTCTTCCTCATATCGATTTCCTTAGTATCTTGTGCATCTTCTGAATGTGCCTTTCCTCCAGTACAACAGAGACATGGGGTCGGGATATTTCACTCTTCTTTCCCCAGAACAATACAGATAGTTCCCGGCTACAGTTGGGTGAGTCTGCTGGCTGGCTCTCCTCTTTGCTGGACACAAGGGCTGCCTTTCCCGCCACATATATAAGTCTCAGAATAATCATAAAGACTGTGAAATGCTCTCATCACCATTTCTTATAAGAAAATAATAAAAAAACGATGCTGTTAGAGCTAAAGAAGGTGCTTTCAGCATCAATACATGAATTTGGAACTTTTTGAGGCTTGCAAGAAATGAAAAACCAAATTCCTCACATCTCAATTAACAAGGGCATGAAGCATTTTGCAGAAAAGACAGAGATTTTTTTTTCAGCCAGTTCAAATTCATTCTGTTTACAACAAAGTCTCCAATGGAGACGTTACTGGGCCCGCTCGAGCAATCACCCTTTTGAAACCATCAGCTCTGAACACGCTGGGTCCCCGAAGTCACAATCCTCCCCAGGGTCACAGCCTCATGGGACAGCTCCCGGAGTCCTCTCTGCCCCCACTCCACAGGAACCATTCACGACAGGTCTGGCTGACCCAGGAGTGGGTGTAGAACTTCCCCTGCTCTGTGTAGACAGGTCAGGACCTCGCCCCGTTAGGCCGGGGTGTCAGAGGCGGGCAGGACCCTGGGCAGAGACTGAGTCTCCAGGAGTTTGCTGGATCTACCTTGCCTGGTAAAGCCCAATGGGAGAGTCACTGTCACTGTCACTGTCCTCCTGTTGTTCATCAATTTGCTCGAGCAGGCCCAGTAACATTGTGAGACTTGTTGTTACTGTGTTTGGCATATCGAATACGTCACGGGGAGCTTGCCAGGCTTTGCCATGTGGGCTGAATACTCTCAGTAGCTTGCCAGGCTCTCCGAGAGGGGTGGAGGAATCGAACCCAGGTCGGCCGTGTGCAAGGCAAATGCCCTACCCACTGTGCTATCTTTTTCACATCCTTTTTCCGCACTTTCCTTCCAGCCCAATGGGAGAGTCAGGGGGGAAAAAAGCCTCTGTAATGTCCCCCATGAAACAGCCGTCCTACCATCCTCTGCAGACAGGAGACCAGGGTGAGGCAGGACATCGGGACTGTGTCCCGAGACAAACGCTTAAGCAGACAACAGGGCCTGTGCTGGGTCAGGGCTGCCCGCTGGGGCTGGAGCACCAAGTTTGGGGCTCGAACCCAGTACCGCAGGCTCCCCTGGGTCCTGAGCCAGGAGCAGCCCCGAGCAGTCAGGGTGTGGCTCAGAGCTCAGCAAAACTGAGCCCAGAGCTGCCCCTGCTGTGGGGAATGAGGCTGGGTGAACAGGATGCAGGTGGAAGGGGCCTGCAGTCTGCAGCTGCCACCAGGGCCCTCCTTCAGGACAGCGTGCCACCCCACAGTCCTGGGGTCACCTTCATTCCCCTGGACTTCCCCAGAGCCCCACGGCCCGCCCTCACTAAAATAGACCGGAAAGTTCAGGGGTGACGGCATCACCTGCTGAGTGGAGCCTGACCCCCACCAGGCCCTGCTCTACTCTGACAGTAAATAGTGAACAGAGACCGCCCCGACCTCCTCACCCACACTGTGCCAGGCAGAGTCACCCTGTGCCTACCGACTGCAGCCCCAGGTGGCTGGCTCAGCTGCATCCTCCAAGCCTGGGTGCCCCGCCTTCCCTTCCTCGCTCACAGTTGCTCCTTCAGCATCTTCAGCCACACCGTTCACTGGTTTTCAATTGTCCAAAACTTCAAGGAGGCTGGAGAGATAGTACAGCAGGTAGGGCATTCGCCTTGCATATGAATGACCCGGGTTCAATCCCCGGCATCCCATATGGTCCCCAGAGCACCGTCAGGAGAGATTCCTTAGTGCAGAGCCAGGAGGAACCCCTGAGTATCACTGGGTGTGACCCAAAGAGCAAAAAAGAAAAAATAACTACGAGGGAAGGATGCGGAGAGTAATTGACGACTTCGGGTTTGTGGGACATGCACGGCCGGGCGTGGGGGACCATCAGGGATGAACCAGGCCTCAAGGGGCTCGACCCTGCTCTCTCCTCAGCCTCCCAGCATGCTCCAGCATTGCGC